AACCTCTTCTATAGAAGAGGTTAGAACTGGCAGGAACTCACCCCTGGAGGGAGCATACTGCTTCCCTTTTGCCTTTCAGCTCCACCCTAGGAGCCTTCCAGGCAGAAAACCATTTTTGTGTTGCATTTGTGCTGATAAATAAATAAAGGGAGACTAGTATAGGTCTATTTCAAGCTCTCATCAGCTAGCTAGACCCTTATTAGGATTCGAACATGAGCTGTTTTTATATATTAGGCAGTTATATTAACCTCTAAACCACAAGCTCACCTCCCTTATCAGCTGAGCCAAAAGGGAAGCAGTATGCTCCCTCCCATATTTGGGCATACCAGGTTCTTTGACATAACACTTAATCATTTCCTTGGCTCAGCTGACAAGGGGGGAGAGCTTGTGGCTTAGAGGCTAATACAACTGTCTAACATGTAAAAACAGCCCAGGTTCGAATCCCAGTAAAGGTGTGGCTAGCTGATGAGAGCTAAATAGCTTGAAATAGATCTATACTAGTCTCCCTTTATTTGTTTATCAGCAGAAATGCAACACAAAAATGGTTTTCTGCCTGGAAGGCTCCTAGGGTGGAGCTGAAAGGCAAAAGGGAAGCAGTATGCTCCCTCCCATATTTCGGCATACCAGGTGCGTTGATATAACACACACACACACACACACACACACACACACACACACACACAAGCCAAATACCATTCACTCATTACAAAATCTGGGCGAACCGGGCCGAACTGGCTGAATAGCACCTCTGGTTACCTCTTACAAATAATGGATCGAATTGAAGTACAGTAGGAAACATGACAACAAATGAGAGGAGAGTAAATTCTGATCCTTATATTGATGCTAAACCGGACCACAACATAGATACAAAACAATGACGTAGAATCTTTGGTTTTATAAAAAATTGCAATATTTATTACATTAGATATAATATTTATGCACAGTTTATAAATAACGAGGAAAGGAGAGAAAACAGAAACCAGGCTCCTACGTTTCAATTAAGGTTTTATTTTCTGAAAAGACAAGACGCCCGTGTCACAGTCTCCCAAACCTCACAAACACTAGAAAACTGCAAAAAAAACCATAAATAAGCCGCCAATGCAGACAATTTTTAAGGATTCAAAAAAAAGAAATTTGTCTTACCGTTAGCTCACCAGCAGGTGGCGCAGTTTGATGCAGATAGATACCATACAAACTGCGGCAGATGGCTCTTGTGTTCTTTTTAATCAGAATAACGACTTAATGTAAATTAATTGTCCTGACATTTTCATTTAACGTTTGGGGAAGAAAATGTTTACCCTGCATGGAGGAGGGGGAGTGAAGTACCCTACCAATTTCAAAGACTAACGATATTGTTCAGGTATTCTGTTAAATCGACGCCTGTCTATTCTAGCATCGTTTCCAGTAGGGGTGACTCCTTGGTTTTTCTTTTTTCAAAAAATAAAATAAAATGGAGAAATAAATTATTCCCTCTGCCCCCCCCCCAACATGTGGCTGCTACATGTACACAATACAACGGTAAAGGGAGTTCCATTGCCAATACAGCAGATAGATCCTTTATTCTTAAATTTGCCTATAAACTGACTTTATCAGGAGCTATCAAAGACATTCTCTTGCTGTGAATTAAATATATGTACACAAAATGATATGCATATGTATATCATTTTGTGATATATCTATCTATCTATCTATCTATCTATCTATCTATCTATCTATCTATCTATCTATCTATCTATCTATCTATCTATCTATCTATCTAGAGAGAGAGAGACAGACAGAGACAGAGACATAGAGAGACAGAGACATAGAGAGACAGAGAGTAAGAGAGACAGAGAGATAGTCAGAGAGAGAGTAAGAGAGAAAGACACAGAGACAGAGAGAGAGACAGACACAGAATCAGAGAAAGACAGAGAGAAAGAGAGACAGTCAGTGTGTGTGTGTGTGTGTGTGTGTGTGTGTGTGAGAGAGAGAGAGAGAGAGAGAGAGAGAGAGAGAGAGAGAGAGAGAGAGAGAGAGAGAGAGAATAGTTTTTATTGAAAATTTTATATTGGGAACTACATAGTATATATCTCTGTAGTTTTCTATATTACCCTAGAGTCAACCTACAAAATAATTTTGCCGTCAGTCCTCCGACAGTAAACATACCAACCAATGAACAAGCCACCCGATATGTAAGTCAGAATGCCAAAATATTTTGATTTTTTATGGATTTTACTCTTTGTTGAGGTGCATATGTGGGTCTTCCAACAGTCAGCATTTTTGGGATGCTTAAGAGGTGAAGGTCACGGTTCCCACACGGTTCCCACACGGTTCCTAATTTAAAAACATTGCATTTGATGCAGAATTCTATACTCAGCTGAAAAGTAATTAACAAACTGGGTAATACGTAGGCAGTTGCAAGAAATATATAATTAATATAATATAATATAATAAATATAATATAATAAATATAATATAATAAATATAATATAATAAATATAATATAATATAATATAATATAATA